GAACTGCTGAACTGCAGATAAGTCAGCTGAAGTGGCCTGCAGTACTGCACCCTAACCATTGCGCCACCTCGGCTCCTAGGGGGTAGGTGGGAGTTCAACTAGAATTCCAAGTCATTAAATTGAATCTGATTTTACCACTTTTTCCCCTGGATTGTTAAGTAAATCACCACTATCATTAAGAGAATCAGAAGGTTGTTAAACGAATCAAGCCTTCCCCCTTGATTTTGTTTATTGGAAGCTGGATGGGAAGTTGTAAATGGTGATCATGTGAACCTGGGATGCTTCAACCATCATAAACATATGCTGCTTGCCAAGTGCCTGAATTTTGATTAAGTGACTGTGGGAACACTGCAACACTCATGAGGGTGAGGATTGCTTCTAAGTCCCCACCGTCATAATCAAGTACTGCTTGTACTTTTTTTAGCATCATTGTAATTTCTAACTGTTGTTAAATGGAAATTCATAAGTCAAGTGCTACTTGTATGCTGCTGAAAGTCACTTTCATGTGAGATGAGCAGCTATACAAATATGAATGAATAATGAAGCTGGCTGAGGAATTCTGGGAGTTGAAGTCCACAAGTCTTAAAGTTGCCAAGGTTGGAGATATCTGGAATAAACTAACCTTATCAGAGATAACTTTTCTTTTTACTCTGATATATTTTACTTCCACTGGGCCTGTACTTACAGGGAGATCATGGCAAGAATTATGCAAGAATTTCTTTACAAGATTTTTTAAAAAATGTTAAGTAGTCGAAAGGTAACATCTTGGAAACCCCAGCTATAAAATAGTACTTCATTTAAAACTGGACGGGAAATTCAGAAATAAAGTCATTTTTCGTTTCCGCTGCTTTGAATTGGTGACCTGGCTCCTGATTTGCTGAAATACAATAGTTTGTTGGATCTGTACAGTAGTTAAGACAAAAATTGTGGCTTTTGCAAATCCGTAATAGCTGGTTTTGCATAACAAGCATCATTAGCCTCAAGCAAACTGCATCATGACTCTAAAGGCTTCTGTAAGGTCTACAATTTTTCTTCCAATCTGAGGTCTGAACACGGGGGAAAGAGTAAAAGTTCCCACCCTCTGAAAGTAATTGATTGTTTAGCCTTTTGCTTAAATTATTATACAGGATTTTGGAAAGGGTGCAGGCAGAAGACACTTCATTTTTTAAAAAGTCAATTCCACAATCCTTTAGAGATAAAAAGATTAAATGGGATAAAAATTTGGGGACACATAATGAACAGCAAAAGTAAGAAGTGACAGGAGCATTCTTTTGATAAATTTAGTCATTTAGAGAGTTTTGACATTCTCAATCCATTATAAGCCAAGTTTATTTTTATCCAACACCTTTTTCTTCTACTTTCCCCAACAATCAGCATCTCAGAAAATTAGACGATGAGCCAATCTGGTTTTCTTCATTTTGTTTAAATCAGAGTACTTACCTTCAGGTGAAAGAATAGTTAAATCCAGGTTTCTACTAGCTACTCCGTTTGGTTCTAACCCTATGCATAAATGCCATGGACCACATGCAAAGGTTTTTACTCCAATTTGAAATTCTGATGGGAGCAACAGGACACAAAACTGCATTGCACTTTGATCCCCATCAAGAAGGGGGAAACCGGAAACCTCAGGATCACATACGGCTTCCAATCCCATTTTAGGTCACACACAAATCAGCAGATTTTAAATCAAGGAATGCCCCTGAATTGCTTGTGTTAGCCAAAACATTGGCTTAATATTAAGAGGCGCCAAACTTAAAACTTTGAATCCACCCAGAAAATAGCAATAGCACTTAGACTTATGTACCGCTTTATAGTCCTGCCTAAGCGTTTACAAAGTCAGCCTATTGCCCCCAACAATCTGTGTCCTCATTTTACCCAACTTGGAAGGATAGAAGGCTGAGTCAACCTTGAGTCGGTCAGGATCGAACTCCTGGCAGTGAGCAGAGTCAGCCTGCAATACTGCATTCTAACCACTGTGCCACCAGGGCTCCTTTGCCCACAGGTATTATTTGGGTCCAATTTGCATCATCGCTCAGCTTACCGTGCCCTCTCCAAAGATTTTAAGTGTAGTTTTCAGTGATGTAAGATGACTTCACTTGAGCATATGTTGGCTTGGGAATTCTGGAGTCTTAAAGTTGTCAAGGTTGAGAAACACTATGCTAGATGACACCCAAACTATTCTAAAAGCACAAATCTGTTTACCTTTCCAAGAGTTTTAAATCTATCTCATTAATCACTTAAACAAACAAACCCCCAAAAAATGACTTATCTGCAAGAAAATGTTTATTTTTATATTTTTTTTGTAAACCCCACAGAAAAAAAAGGAATGCAGCCAAGACCAAGTATTTCAACAGAAAGGGTGCCCAAAAGGGCAGCCAAGAAAAATAAAACAATAAAAAATAAAAATAAAAAAATGGGGGAACCTCAACACAAAAAAGTCAATGACAAGAGTTCATGTTTTGCACAAAGATGAAAACCAATGACATTTCTGAGTAACACTTTCATGGTGACAATTACACAAGATGATTCCAAAAAGCAAAATGACAGCAACATGCACGCCTGGCTAAAGCTAGGATTTTTTTTTAATCTGAAAAAGAATCTGATTTAAAATGATGGACCGTTAATACTCATATTTTATTGACTTGCTTGTCCTACTTAATTTGTTTTTAAACTAGGCATACCTGCCAATTATGAAACTTTAAAAAAGTGTTTTAAAGAAGAACTTTGTCCTTCCAGAGTCCACTGCATGTTTGCAAAATCATAATGAATTCGTTTCTCTTTTTAATAATTTTGCTAGTTACTAATACAATTTTGAATCCCTGCCCCACTGCCCCTCCCACCCATACTCAAACCTTAAACACTTCAAAAGTCGCCAGTGCAACACACTTTCCTACCAATGCACAATATACATTTAAACTGAAATCTTTGTGCAATTTTGAGTTTCTTTTTAAAAAATTCTTAAAAAAACAAAACCTCCTTGGCACAACGGCTGAGATTTTAGCCCAGTCTCATTGAAATGAAACTGTCAAACTCAGGATAGAAAGCGTAATTGAAATTTGACTTAAAAAAAACAACACAAAAAAGCAAACCAAAACACCCAAGCTGCCCTTTTTATGAACCAGTCGGACAGTCTCTGGAATACCCCATGTTGCACTGCTCTGCTTTTACTACAATACTCCCTCTGTTACTATTCAGCTACAGCATATCCTGATCATCAGAAACACTGTTGGATTTGGTACCCAGAAATGAACAAAAAAGAGATGTAACCGCAGATGACATCCAAATTATATTGGTGACCTGCAGTAGACTCTGTAAAACGAGCTTTATTTTTATTTCAGGCTATGTGGGAGCAAAAGGGGAGTGGGGGAAGAGAGATAATTCTGAAATTGTCAAATTTCCTCTTGGCATGTCGTAGTTTCTCAAGGTCCTGCCAACATTAGCATCTTTCAAGCCATTAACTATCCTGATGGGAACCTTCACACAAGTCAAGAACATGTCGTTATCATGTGTTTATTGCCTTCCTTCAAGAAAATGATGCCCTCTTATTACACATTTGGTCCTGAGTGGGGTAAGCAAATTGATCTCTTGGACATTCTTCCTTCCATTCAACCCCATTTCACCATCCTCTATATCAAAGCTTTATTTCACTACAAACCCTTTCGCCATTTAAAAAAAAAAAACAGACTAAAGAATTTCCATCATTATTCCTTGCCATTTTTAATTTGCCATTTTGTCTTCATTATATTTAAAAGAAATGGGGGGGGGGAGAAAGAAGGGTTTAAAATCAAGCAGAGCTGCTATTTTTTAAATTCTTTTGGGTAGTTTCAAGGGGAAACTTTGCAGCAATTCATTTATGCATGGGTGTCTGTGTGTGAATTCACTTGAACTAACAAAGAGAAGCAGAGTTTGCTATATGAAAACCAAGAATTGTGGGTTCTTTTCCCCTTAATGTATTGGCCAAGAAAAAAAAATTGTAAAGTTTTGTGAGTTTTTCTAAAAATTTACAAGAAAAAACTGATGGGCAGTTTGAGTCAAACCTTGGTGTTGGGGCCCCCCACTTCCCTTTATTTTTATTTTTAAACAAGAAATCAGTACAGTCTCACACTATACAAATTTCATCTTGACTGCAAGAGATTTTTCTGTGTGATGCCTTCGGTGCGACAGGTGGAAAGTTGGCGCTTATTTCTTCAGGGGTTGATAAACTGAGGCATTAGGATCAAGTCCAGAAGGGCTGGTCTCCACAAATTTGGAAGAATAGTGTGGAGAAACTGGGCTCAGCGTGCTGGTGGCTGCAGTGTATGTTATGCTGGGCATGACTGCCATCACTTCCGCGATCTTCTGTTTTAGGTCCTTGATTTCCTGATCTTTCTGAATTATTTGCCCTGCAAAAAAGGAAGAAAAGAAAAGAATTGCTCACTTTAAGGCAAAGAAAGACGCTCACTTTAAGATATAGGAGAAGAACAAGCAGAACTGGAGGCAGAGTCAAACACATCATTAGCTTACAGTCCTTATGTTGCCACAAATGACCCAAGCCTAGTCCTCCTTGAATTCCATTGACCCTTATCTAGTGCCAATTTAGTGCTGACCCTTAGTTGACTGGATTCTTGTGTATAGGCTTGAAATAATAAATCTTCTGTACTGCAACTTAATGTAGGGTCCCGATCCTTTGTGCCTGACAGGAAGGGCTTTTCAGCGGGGCCTACATAGTACAGCCAAAAAAGGGAGGCTGCAGTAGTGTAACCGAAGCTATATCGGCACGCACAACAGACCAACAACAGGTGGAGTTGCAACTGAAGCTCCAGCTGCACACAAAACAGACCAACAACAATGGAGATTCAAGTGCACTGTCATCTGTTGACTTTTTTTTTTAACCACACCTTGTAGAAACCCTAGACCAGGGCTGTCAAACCTGTGGCCCATGGGTCGGAGGCGTCACGCACTGGCCACACCCACTCTCTGTTTAGTGAAGGGGGGAAAAATCCCAATGTCATGTGACGATGCACTGACAACACGAGTTTGACAACCCTGTCCTAGACTAATAAATATTTTTTAAAAAAGTATTATGATAAAAGGCATGTTAAGGGAGGGTGGTGTTACAACATATCAAGGAAAAATAAATATCCCAGTTCGGGGATTTGTGCTGGTATCACTCAAGAAAGACAATTCTTTTGTTAGCCTTGTGCACCCTCTGCTGGATCAAGTGGCAGTTCACAGCCTCCGACAAAACTCCCAATTGAAACTGAGAAGGGGAACACTGATTTTGCAAAGTTTTTCAAGCCCAAAGGGGCTCTTCCTCTCCTCAGCAATATTTTCTAGGAGGACAGAGAGAGATGGACACAGAAAGATTTGCTTCTGCTATCCTGTGAGACCAGGGCGCCTTTTATTTCAATGCTAGAAACCTGCACTAAAAATCATTTTCCTAAGGTTTGAAAACACAACAATAGCCGCAGAGTTAGGGATAAAGGGACAGGTTCCCCTCGCAAAAATGTGCTAGTTGCTCCCAACTCTAGGGGGTGGTGCTCATCTCCGTTTCAAAGTTGAAGAGCCAGCGCTGTCTGAAAAAGTCTCCGTGGTCATGTGGCCAGCATGACTAAATGCTGAAGGCGCACGGAGCGCTGTTACTTTCCCACCAAAGGTGGTTCCTATGTTTCTACTTGCATTTTTACATGCATTCGAACTGCTAGATTAGCAGAAGTTGAGACAAGTAACGGGAGCTCACCCCGTTACACAGTGCTAGGGATTTGAACTGCCGAACTGCCGACCTTTCAATCAACAAGCTTAGCATCTTAGCCATTGAACTACCATGAGTGAGGCATTCCAATAT